GAGGAGGAGGACGAGCAAGACGAGGAGGACGAGAACGAGGACGACCAGGAAGAGGAGGAGGAGGAGGAGGAGGGGAGGGGGAGGACTACCAGGAGGAGGAGGAGGAGGAGGAGGAGGAGGAAGAGGAGGAGGAGGACGAGGAGGAGGAGGAGGAGGACGAGGAGGAGGAGGGGGGGGGAGAGCACCAGGAGGAGGAGAACGAGGACCACCAGGAGGAGGAGGAGAAGGAGGAGGAGGAGGAGGAGGAGGAGGAGAGAGCACCAGGAGGAGGAGGACGAGCAAGACGAGGAGGACGAGAACGAGGACGAGCAGGAGGAAGAGGAGGAGGAGGAGGAGGAGGAGGAGGAGCAGGAGAAAGAGGAGGAGGAGGAGGAGGAGGAGGAGCAGGAGAAAAGAGGAGGAGGAGGAGGAGGGAGGAGGCAGGCTGAGGCTGAGGCTGTGACTGCGACTGCCGTTGCCGCTGCGACTGTCATCGCGAATGCGACTACGACTGCGAGAACAGCAGAATTCTACAACTGGATTTTCATCTGAATCTTAAGGGGAATGCTTTCAGATATGCTTCTACACATCGCTGTTAGGTTGCTTTGCCGGGATTTTTTTTTTTTTTTTTTTTTTTTATTGCTGGGCCCCTCTCGCTGCTCCAGCGGCGACGTGCGCCGCCGATCCCAGCTCGATGCGCTCCCCCACAGGAGCACTGGGGGCGGCCAAGAGGGGGGTGATGATTACTGGGGGATACCATTCCCGTTTAATTCGGCTCAATCTGGGGCCCACCCAAGTCTCATGCGGTTAAACAGCCTAATCGCCCTGAGTGGATGCTGCGAAGACCTCCCAGGAGTTGCCTCTTTCGGGGGCGGAAAAGAGGGTGGTGATGACTAGGGGGGGGGGGTGGATATCATGGCGAGGGCCATGCCATCTTCCCAGATTTCATGGCGCCTCTTGTTGTTTCAGTGCGTCCCCGGCACCCCCCCTGGGCCGCGCGCGCGCCGCTGGCCATGATTTGCGCCCCCCCGCTTGGAGAGATACTGTTTTACTGCGGCCAGATGGGCTCTTGTGCGGCCCTGTGGGCTTTAGTACGGCCAGCAGGCTTCCAAATCTTCGAGAACGGTGAAGGCCCCCTTGAATGGCTTCTTGGCTCCCGTGAAGGGCTTCTTGGCCTCCCCTGAAGGGCTTCTGGGCCTCCTGGAAGGGCCGCTTAAAGGGCGTGTCGGTCCCCCTGAAGAGCCTTTCGCCCCCCCAGAAGGGCTTCTTGGCCCCCCTGAAGAGCATGTCGGCCCCCTCTGAAAAGCCTTTCGGCCCCACTGAAGGGCTTCTTGGCCCCCTTGAAGGGCCTCTTGAAGAGCCTTTCGACTTTGATTTCGCATAAGGTGCTGAAGGAGTTGTATAAATAACAACCTCCAATCTTTAGTCGGCATGGTTTATGGTTAAGATTAGGACGGTATCTGATCGTCTTCGATCCCCTAACTTTCGTTCTTGATCAATGACAATTTCCTTGGCACCCCCCTGAAGAGCCTTTGGGCCCCCTGAAGAGCCTTTGAGCCCCCCTGAAGATCAGGGCGTCTTGGCCCCCCTGAAGGGCTTCTTGCAGAGCCTTTCGGCCCCCCTGAAGAGCCTTTCGGCCCCCCTGAAGCGCCTTTCGGCCCCCCTGAAGGCCTTCTAGGTCCCCCTGGAGGGCCTCTTGAAGACTCTTTCGGCCCCCTCTGAAAAGCTCTTCTGCCCCCCTGAAAAGGGCTCCCCTGGGGACTTTGGGCCGTCTGAGCGCTAACCTGGGCCGACTTGGGGCCATCTTGGGCCGCTGTTGGGCCACCTTGGCCCCCTCTCGGGCTGTCTCGGGGCCCTCTTGGTGCCTGCCTGGGCCGCTGTGAGGCCATCTTCGGTTTTTCATTCCTCAGTTTTGTTTAACCTGGGTCGTTTGAAACCTCTGGGTCTTTACCCTTTTGTTTTGGGTAACCTTGCGGAGGGCCCTGGCGACCAAGTCAGCAAGGAGAGGCGAGTGAGGCCCGGGCGTCTTCGGCACTACACGACTCGTCGCAAGTGACGCGACGCCGCTGGTGCGTCAGCGATGAGCGGCCCTTTCAAAGTTGAGAGGCGCATTGGGCACTCTTTTGCCGAGAAGCCCTTTGCAAGTTGACGGGCGCGTTGGGCTCTTGGCTGAACACCTCGCTGCCTGGCTCTACTTTTGGAGGGCAGGGGCAAGCTCCCCGCGGCGCGACTTCTTACCGTTCAAGAACTTTTCAGTTCCATACAACAGATACGCTTTCGGGCACGCCCCAGCGAACAAAAGATACGGTGGCGGGTGAGATACAATAACTCGCTATGTGTTGTTCGACACTGTTATTGATTTGCTGTGCTATGCGTTGCTATGCTGCGATCGTGGCATGATCTGCACAGCTGCGGTGTGTTGTGCTATGCTATGGTGATATCGTGCTGTGCCATGCTATGAAGTGCTATGTGCTGATGTTGTACATGTTCACATGCTTCACTGTGCAGTGCCATGCGATGATATGCCATGCCAGACAAAGCCGTGCAATTTGACCCACCACCTGATTTGTATTGCCATGCAGTGATACTTTTCCTATGCGATGCTACGTGCATGCTTGGTAGTGGTTTTAGATGCGTTGCTTCGTTGTTCTACGTTTTGTGTTAACAGGGAGCTCCTTGCCGTGCACCTTGTTGCATCACATTGTATAGCGTTGCACAGGTCTGTGTTCAGCCGAAAGAGCGTCTCGAACAGGGTCCGAGCCGGTGTCGTGTTCTCTCTTTGGGAAAAGTTTTGGTGGCCGTGGGTGGCTCGTGGATGAGTTTACCCAGCTCTCCAGGTTTGGCTAGCGACGAGCCTCGTGCATGGCATTTCCCTCGACTACTACATCTACGACCATTTCTGCGAGAACCCGGCCAACCAGTGCTTCCTCCTCGGGGGGGACGAGTGCAGGAGCTGCGTCCGCAGCGGGGAGAGCGGGGACAGCAACGGCCCCACCGAGGAGAGATGCGGCGAGAGGTCCATCTTCGATCTCGTGAAGCAATTCCGGGGCCATACTGCCAAGGAGCTGTACGACAAGCTGATCCACATCCCGGGTCCGCCATCTCAGGTGTTCGACGTGCTGTGAGGCGCCCTGGCTCTCCGAACTTCGCCTCGGAGCATGCCGCTTCGATTCCATGCGCCCCTGGCTAAACCAGCAGACGCGATGTGCGCGAGATTTTCCCGATCCCCGCGGCGTCCGACCATGTACCTCATCCGCAGTCCCTCTGGTATGCAACTCTTGGGAGGTTCGATTCAGAATCGGCGATGGTACAGCCGCGGTCGAATCCGCTATAATCTGGCTGGATCCAGATCAATCCCGCTGAATTCGGCTCAATCTTGGGCCTGCCCAAGTCTCATGCGGCTAAACAGCTTGATCGCCCTGAATGGATGCTGCGAAGACCTCCCAGGAATTGCTTCTTGTCTGTGCCTTGAGAGACTAAGTTGACGAACGAACAACACACACCCATACCCATAGGGAGGTCTGAGGGAGAAGGACTGGCTATGGGTATGGGTGCGGGTTGTTGCGTCCCTGGGAAGGCTCCCGTTCGAGCGGGGACCCCCATCCGACAACACGCACCCATAGCTCATTCCGCCCACCCTATGGATATGGGTGCGTGTTGATCGTTCGTCATAAGTCACCCTCGTCGCACCACCAGACGTGCTGGTAGGGCGGGCCTGGCGTCCTGCTTGCAGCGCCCTCGCATACTGCTACGACTCTGAAGCTCGCTGGACTTCCTGACAGTCATACGGAGGAGGCAAAGGTCGTTTCCAAGACGCGGTTTCTCGCCTCAGGGCGGAGGAGGAGGAGAAGGAGGAGGAGAAGGAGGAGGAGGAGGAGGAGGAGGAGAGGGAGGCAAGACGCGGTCTCTCGCCTCAGCGCTGCGGACGCTCGTCGTGAGAAGCTGCAGCAGTTACAGTTACGCGGCACGGCGTGCCCACGGGGCGATCACACTCCCTCGGAGTGAGCGGGAACACCTTTCGGGACTTGCAAGGCGGGGACTTGTGGGAGGGAGGAGGCCAGACAAGCTGTTCATTCCTCATTCGGCGCCTCTCGTGGTAGCAAACATGGCTGTGTGCTGCAGCATCGTTGGTGCATCCTGGGTTTGCATATCCTGATCCTTCCGCTCCTCCCTCTCCTCCTCCCGCGCCCGCTCGTGCCCGCCACGATCTCCCGCACGCTGTTTTTTTCACGCTCGGTATGGGAGGCATCCCGCCATATGTCTGCACGACTGTCTTCTGGACCGCCCGCCGACCGCAGAGGGGTCGCGCCTTTGGTCCGTGTTCGGCTGCGCGCCCGGGGGGGACATCGAAAGTGGTCGGGTCCTCCCCGCCTCGCCGTCTGATCCTCCTCCTGCTCCTCCTCCTCCTCCTCCTGCTCCTCCTCCTCCTCCTCTCCTCCTCCTCCTCCTCTCTCTCCTCCTCCCCCTCCCCCTCCTCCTGCTCCTCCTCCCCCCTCCGCGTTCTCCCTCCTCCCTCCGCGTTCTTCCCTCCTCCCTCCTCCCTCCTCCCTCCTCCCTCCTCTTCCTCTCTCCTCCTCCTCGTCCCTCCTCCTCCTCCTCCTCCTCCTTCCGCTCCTTCCTCCTCTCCTCCTCTTCCTGCTCCCCTCCTCCTCCTCCTCCTCCCTCCTCCTCCTCCTCCTCCTCCTCCCCCTCCTCCTCCCCCCCCCGCTCCTCCTCCTCCTCCCCTCTCCTCTCCTCCTCCTCCTGCTCCTCTCCTCCTCCTCTCCCCTCCGTCTCTCCTCCTCCTCTGCTGCTGCTCCTCCTCCCTCCTCCTCCGTCTCCTCCCCCTCCTCCTCCTCCTCCTCCTCCTCTTCCTCCTCCTCCTCCTCCTCCTCCTCCTCCCTCCTCCCTCCTCCTCCTCCTCCTCCTCCCCTCCCTCCTCCTCCTCCTCCTCCTCCTCCTCCTCCTCCTCCTCCTCCTCCTCCTCCTCCTCGTCCCTCCTCCTTCTCCTCCTCCTCCTTCTCCTCCTCCTCCTCCTCTTCCTCCTCCTCCTCCGCCTTCGAGGACTTCAGTACAGGTTTGCTTGAAAATCAGCTGTAGAATACGCCGCCCTGCCGCAACCACGGGGCTTACGCCTCAGAGGACAGGGCAGCCTCGCTCGCCCGCGCGCTGTGCGTACCCGACCCCCTCGCGGTCGCCGCGAGGTGGGGAGGCCAGACGGCCTTTGCTGCCCCGCCGCGGCCTGCGGCTCGCTGGTGTGCGCCGAGGTGCGCTGTCCGCCCGCGCCGCCGGGCCCCAGGGCTGGACCTAAACGCTGCTTTGCTAGGCTTTGGCTGTGTTTTGTGGTTGGTTTTGGCAGGGAGGTATTGGCCAAGCAGGTAGAGCGAAACGAGCAACGACACGAACAGAAAACGAGAAGCAACGTTTTGGTCCAGCGCCGCCGTGCCCCACGGCAGCGCCCAGCGTGCCCGGGCTGCCGCGGGGTGTCCGAGGAGCGGCCTGCCCTGCGGCACGGGGCGCCGCTCCCCTCGCCTGGGGGGCTGGCCGGGCGGCGCGGGGCTCCTGCTGCTGGGCGCCGCGGGCGGGGACGCGGCCGCCGCCTGCGCGCTCGGTGGCCTGCAGGCTCTTCGGTGTCCGGCTGGCTGCTGCCCTCGTCGTGGAGCAGGTGGCGGCAGCGCAGCCTCCAGTTCTGAGGCCCCGGGTGCGGCTTCGGCACCAGGGCGAGGCCCTGTACCATCAGCGACGCGTTGTCAGGGTGCTGGCCTCGACGGCGACGTAAGTGACTGATGTTGACGAGGTCATCAGGGTCTCGCCTTACTCGGGCGTGTCCCTCTACAGGAGGGATGAACAAAAATAGTACAAAATAGTCGGGGGACGATCCTAATATTTTTGACTATTTTTGAATCTTTGTTTGCATATTTTTTATTTGTCTCACAAATTCGCTTGTAGGAGGACGTGCCCGACCTGAGTCTCGCCCGACGGCGACCCCGAGCAGATCGACCTTGTCGGGCGCTTCGCGGAACATCGAGGCTTGGCGCTGGTCCGACGCATATCGCATTCCGCCTCCTGGTATCCCTCCGGCCAAGATTACCGATTTGATCGAGAGCTTGGTGCTGCTCCGATGACCACGATGCAGGCGGATGCCGTGGCCTTCTGCGACGCCGCCTACCTCGCGCGCGAGCGGGCTGCGGGTCAGCCGGCGGTGCTTCTAGCCATTGGCGGCGTCGTCGCGGCCGTGCGGCCTCCGCCGCTGCCGCTGCCGTGGTTGCTCCCGCGGCTGCCCCCGACGCCGCCCCTCTTCCTGTCGCCGGCGTCGCGCCCCCGGGAGGGCCGTCAGACGTGGTGGCCGCTGCGGCTGCGGGAGCGGCCGCGCCGCTGGCCTTCGGAGCAGGTCCGGACAGCCCGCGAAGAGAGTCACCCACCTAAACTCTATTTCCAGTGGGCGGGTCGGGGAACATTGAGAAACACACACATGGAACCCGTTCCCCCCAACCCGAAATTCGGGTCCTCGGGTTGGGTTGGGGTGGTCTGGTAGGTAGTCTGAGAGGGGGCGGGCGCGGGTCCCTGGCCAACTTTCGCCTCTCGCCCCCGGCGGTCGCGGCCCCCCCCCCCCCCAGGAGCTCGCTGGCTCTTCGGAGGGCTGGGCTCGCTGCGGCAGGGGCGCCCCGAGGTGCTGCCGCCGGAGGTCGTCGGCTTCTCTCCTCGGCGCGCCCCCCCTGCCGCGCCCGCGGCAGGCCTGCGCGCCACCCGCTGCCCTCCTCGCCCTCCCGCCGCGGCGCGGCACCCGGCCCCGTGGCGAGAGCCGGCCCCCGTGATTTTTTTGTTCCCGTCCCTGCGCCGGCCTCCTCCGTGGCATCGCCCGGACGAGTTCAGGTTTTCCTCGGCCTTGTACCTTGTCCTGTGCAAGATCTTCGGCACCGCCTGTACTCTGAGCCCTCCGGCCGCCTGAGGCCCTGCCCGCCCGCGCCCTGTCTCCCCAATTAGTGCTTCGCGCGCCCCGCCTATTTCTTAACTGGAAGAGGCCCGCTCTCGACCCGCCGACCAAACAAGTTTTCTTCGGCGAGGACCATGGAGGAGCATCCTGGATGACTTGGCGAAAACAGGCGCGCCGACATCGACAAATGCACGAGGAATGGACGTCCGAACGATGGCAAGCCTCTGACCCCTTGGGGCCCGTGTCTCGCGCAAAGTTCGCGGGAGATTCGAGGTCCGTCTTGAATGAGTTGTGCGGGTGGCGCGAGTTGGGGGGCGGTCGTGGAGCATCGGCGGCCCAGGAATCGCGTCTGGGGCATGTCCACCGAGCAGTTCGTGGTTTCGGCAAGCCCACAGAGTATTCTACTGCTGCAGGGACCTTGCGAGAGCTCCGCATCAACCCGGGCTGCGCTCAGCTTGGTGGCCCAGTGGTTCCCATCAGCGACGGCCAATACAGAACCAGTGGTCCCTCCTCCCACCAGGCGGTCGCCCGCGGGCATTTTGCAGCTGGCCGGCACCGTCGGCGAAACCATGGTTGATGAATTGCATGCGCCGCGGCGACTTGATCCAGCTGGTTCAGATGTACCCTCGCCAGCGGGGAGAATGCACAATGATCCTAACATCCGTTCCCTTCCTCGGTGGCAGGCGCGTTTTCTTCGCCGTCTTGGAGATTCGAATTTGGTGTCGTGGAAGCGTGACTGCGCGTCTCATGTTGGCGTCTTCTATGTGCCTAAAAAGAACGGCGACCTTCGTCTGATCCTCGATCAGCGGCAGGCGGGGGGGCACCTCGGCCAACCCCCTCACGTTGACCTGGCCACGGGTTCGGCCGTCTCTGCGCTGGAGCTTGTTGGCGGCGGGGGGCCCATCTGCGTGGGGGCGGCTGACGTCGAGAACGCGTTTTATGGGATTCGGTCACCTTGGTAATTATTTCTGGCTGCGCTCTGGGCCCCCGCGCGTTCGGGCAGGGGTCCAGGGGCATGCCGCCGACGGCGACGCGGGCCCCTTGAGGGCCACCCACTGGGTCGCGCTCTGCTTTGCCGCCGTCCCAGCGGTCTGGAAACACGGCCTCTGGATGCGCCAAAGAATTCTGGAATTCCGTGCTCGTGCTTATGCTCTGGCAGCCTCTGCTGGTCTCTCGGCTGTCCTGGCGGTCGCAGGGGATCAAGCGAGCCGCGGCCCCCGCGTGGCCGCCGTGGAGGCACTGTGTGTTTCTCTTCGGCCGCAGCCGAGGCTCGGTGGCTGCAGGTCGCATGGTGCGACCTGCTGTTCCGCGACATGGTGGCTCCCGATAGGGCATCGTCACCATCCCCCTTGCCGGTCGTCCTTTGTATGTCGGGCCGAACGAAAGGGGGGGGATAGGGAAAGGGGGGCTTATGAAATCTGCTGCGTGCAGCTGGTTTCGGCCCCGCCGCCGGGCCCATTCCTCGATACATGAATCAGCTGCGCGAGCTGATTCTGAACCCCCCCTTTGCTTTCCCCCCCTTTCGCCAGGCCCGAGTATGGACTGCGCGCTGGCCCGGGAGGCGCCCGCCGCCTTCGTGGTTGGCGCCGAGTCCATCTTCGACGCGCTGTCGCGCAGCTCTGCGGGGCGTTGCGGGCCGATCGGCGCAGCGCGGTCGAGCTCGCAGTGCTGCGAGGCTCCGCGACGAGCATCGGATCGCCACTTCGGCGGATGCCGCGCGGCCGAATGGCCGCGCATCTTCTTGCCAAGGCGGGCCCCGGCAGGTGGGGCCTTGCCTTGCCGGACCTCCTCGGCAGAGGCCCCTATGACGCTGGCTGGTCAAGAGGGCCGCGTGTCGAGCCGTGGAGGGATGATCCGGTCTCCAGTGAGCAGGCTCTCCCCCAGGGGTCTCCATGTTTCAGGTCCTGGGGCTCCATGGGGGGGCGCCCTCGTGTCGGTGGTTCGAGGATGGGGTCCTCCTCCTCCTCCTCCTCGGTCCGCCTCGTTGCTCCCCCTCGTCGCTCCTCCTCCTCCTCCTCCTCCTCCTCCTCCTCCTCCTCCTCCTCCTTCTCCTCCTCTCTCAGCCTCTCCGGCGTGCGTGGCGTGGCAGGAGGCGGGAAAGGAGCGGTCGCAGGGCTATCTGGCGTCAGGCCCAGGTAAAGTGGCCCCTCTGTCCCTCTTTTCCCTTCCCCCCCCTTCTGCCTGACGGCTCTCAGATAGTGTGGGCAGCCTACGGTTGCCGTAGTCCCCCTGCGTAAATACGACACAGCGATTTTTGACTTGGGGCGACACGCTGCTCTAGATGCGAGGCGAGCGATAGGGGATCGCATCCGAGTCAGCCCCATCCTCGCTCTTCTGGCCCCTCGCCCGCCTCCTCGTTTGTCCATGTCCAGCGACATGTGGACGGCAGGCTTGGACTGTCTTTTGTTGTTCCCCCTCTTCGGCCCTTCTTTGGGCCGTTTGGGGGCCCTCTCGGGCCGCCTTGGGCGCCCCCCTGGGCCGTCTTGGAGCCCTGCGGAGCCGTCTTGGGCCGCTTGGGGGCCATCTTAGGGCCCCTAGGGCCATCTTGGGGCAGTCTTGGGGGCCTGCTGGGTCGTCCTGGGACGTCGGAAGCTCGAAACGGCGACAACCCCAAACCAATGAAATCCTAGGGAACATTAGTGAAGTTTGCCTCTAGAGACCCTCTTTGGGATGCTCTTGGGGTTCTGTTGGAACGGCTCGCCAGCCTCATGGGCCGTCTTGACGCCATCTTGGGCCGTCTTGAGGCCAAATTGGGCCGTCTTGGAGCCATATTAAGCAATTTGGGAGGATCTTGGCCTTGAGAGACGGCTTTGCTGCACGTTGCTGGGGGCTGTGCCTTCAGAGGGGGCGGTACATGCGGTTGGGCGCGGGGAGAAGGAGGACTGGCCCTTCGAAAGACTGTGCCGCACCCCACCAGACAGCCCTTGGCCTTCTGGCTCGCCCCAGCGTGCCAGGGCGCACGGCTGCGCACACCCAGACGGCGCCTGGCACGGGCAGGGAGACGGAGGGGGCGAGGGGGCGAAGAGAAGGAGGGGAGGGGGGGCCACGGGCGTTTTCGCGAACAGTACCAAAACGGGCTCCACTTTCGGCACGAGCGAAATGGGTGTGGAAAGAGTGTGTACAATGCGATGCCCAATAGCAGTTCTTGTTCATTTTGAGCAGGACTCGCTGTCGGCGTCGCCGCGGATTGTGTCCATTTGAGACAGAAGGCCGCCTGCCAAACAGCGGCCGCTGGTGGTTCGGGAGAACCTTTGCAGTCGGGCATTGTGCCCATAGTCTCTGTGCCCGTTTCGCGTGCCCAAACACTTCCCCGACCACGAGTATGACGTCTCCCCGGCCTCTGGCGGTCCCCCCCCGTGGGCGCGCGCCGCCAGCGTGTGACCGCCGCCGCGCCCCGCCGCATGCCGTGCGCGCTCTCCGCGCCAGAGTGGCGCCGAGCCGTCGTCCTGCCAATGAGCACCCAGTCGGGGGTCCAACGAGTGGGGCTCGGGGGGGCGGGGTCCCTGGAGGCCAGGGCAGGGGTCCTCCGCCTCCGCCGCCGCCGCCGCCTCTTCCTCCTCCTCCTCCTCCTCCTCCTCTTCTTCCTCCGCCTCCTCCGCCTCCTCCTCCTCCTCCTCTTCCTCCTCTTCCTCCTCCTCCTCCTCCTCCTCTTCCGCCCCCTCCTCCTCCTCCTCCTCCTCCTCCTCCTCCTCCTCCTCCTCCTCCTCCTCCTCCTCCTCGGGCCGAACCTGCACTGGCTGAGGCCTCCCGTCCCTCCCTGAGGCCCCGCGGCGCAGGAAGGCGAGAGGGGCACCTCCTTGGCCAGGGCACAGGGGCCCGGAGAGCCCCATGGGCCGGCCCCGATTCCCCTTGTGGCAGCTCTGTCGAGCCGGGGCGATCTGTGAGGGCCCCGCGGGGCGGGAAGCGGGGCGATGCCGCCCGGCGTGAACAGAGTGCGACGCCGGGGCATCAGGATCAGGGCCCCTGACTCAGGAGGGAAAGACACAATGAATCGTCGAGTGCCAGGAAGATATGGGAACATCTGGGAAGTGGGAGGGAAGACAGAAAAACCCAGAAAGTATGGGAAACTATGGGGAGTCAGTTTACTTGTGGCTATTTATTTGTGTGTCCCAGGGCCCCTTCACTGACGTGCGTCGATCTGATCTGTGAAGTCGCGGCCCCGGAGATCCCGACCGCTGCCCGGAGCGCATTTTTTCGCCCCCGGTGCACTATAGTGGATGGCCCCTGGGCCCGAAAGCGGCACCCGAGGGTCGAGCATGGTGGAAAAGCACCTGCCTGCAGAAAGTAGATTCCCGGAGTTCCGACGCCGTGAAGCTTTGCAACCTCGCACACAAAATCACGTTTGGAAACCTGCGCTTCTCGTGCCGGATCGATCTGTGATGGTCCCGAGGGCCTCGACTTTGCGCGAGCACTTTCGTTTTTGGCGTGACCGGATTGTAGTCGGCGTCCCCCCCCACATACTTACACTATGTGTTCGTCGCCCCCCCAGGGGCGACGCGCGCACCGAGAAATCTTCTAGGATATGCGTCTTGGCGGGCGCTTCCTGGCCACACCGCTCGGGAAACGAGACACCACAAGATGGGTATACCATCTGTTCGGGTCGGACGCGCGCCTCCGAGGAGGACATCTAGTACTACAGTCAAAAACCCTTACAAGGACGCGCGACTTTGCTCAGGGTACCCTTGCGCCCTTGCTCTTTCTTGCTCTTGCGTCCTTGGGGTTTTCGTCGTCCGCCGCCCCAGAAATCCCAACTTCGGCTTCCAAGGGTCTTGCGTCCTCACCGCGCGTCCTTCTTAGGGTTTTGGACTGCAGTCTGTCTCTGTGCGCCCCATGTAGGTCATCCAACATACTTATACTTATAAAAGTAGGCTACACACTTATGAGGAGGTCACATGACCCACTTTGTAGCCTGCTTCTGGAAGGGGCCGCCTAAGTTGAGGGAATCCTACACATACCCATCGGTCGTTGAAAGTAGGTATTTTTGGATTTCCAAATTCTTTACGCTTCGCGTATCCCCACCAGCCCATCTCACAGCAGCAGCTCTCGCGAAGCATGTCGACAGTTGTGTTTTTCAGGCGTGTGTCCGCTGGGCTCCGTATATCTCCCCTGTCCCTCCTTCCTCCCGCCTCCTTGTGAATCCTCCTTGTGGGGGGAGCGGGAGAAGGACGAGGCGGAGGAGGAGGGAGAGAAAGCGCTCATCGTGATTTGAGTCGTATGGGGTTTCTCGTCCTGGTGTGAGTCGTTCGAGCCCTTCTTCCTGGTGTGAGTCGTTCGGGCTCTTCGTGGTGTGAGTCGTTCGGGCTCTTCGTCCTGGTGTGAGTCGTTCGGGCTTCTCGTGGTGTGAGTTGTTCGGGCCCCTCATCCTGGTGTGAGTCGTTCGGGCCCCTCCTCCTGGTGTGACTCGTTCGGGCTCCTCGTGGTGTGAGTCGTTCGGGGCCCGCGTCGTGGTGTGAGTCGTTCGGGCTCCTCGTGGTGTGAGTCGTTCGGGCGCCTCGTCCTGGTGTGAGTCGTTCGGGCTCCTGGTGGGGCCTCTTGGGAGCCTCTTGGGGGCCTCCTGGGGCCTCTTGGGCGCCTCTTCGGAGACTCTTGGGAGCCTCTTGGGAGCCTCTTGGGGGCTCTGGGGGCCTCGTGGACGCCTCTGGGGTGCCTCGTTGGAGCCTCTGGAGGCCTCTTGGGGGCGGCTTGGGAGCCTCTTGGAGGCCTCTTGGGAGCCTCCTGGGGGCATCTTGGGGCCTCTTGGGGGCTTCTTGCGACCTCCTGAGAAGCGCAAATGAGCGCTACCCCCTCAGAAGGACAAAAGGAGCCAAAAACCTTAGTACAATCAATAATTTTGAGAACAAGGAGCAGCAGCGCTGGCCCCTCAGACGGCCAAAATGGGGCCAAAACCGTAGTAAGATCAAGGGTTTTGGCTTCAGAGAAGAGGAAAGCATTTTTTCGTGGTCCCCCCGACGGGGCCAGAATCCTCGTGAGGGTCGTCGTTTTTTGGCCCTCCCAGGAGTCGAAAAAGACCCCTCTGACCACCCGCGGGACGACCTCTCCAGGCCCAGGGGGAGGGGGTAGGGGGAGGGGTAAACCCCTCCCCGAAGGGGAAGAAGGGGGGTTGGGGGGTTGAGGACAGAGAGAGCTCTCTAAACCACTCACGCCCAAAGGGTTGGTGGGATTCCAATCTACTTTCAGCGCCTTCCTACTTCAAGCTTCAAGAGTCGAGTGGCTTTCCCTCTTCCCTCCTCTTCAGGAGGCGTGCGGAAACCCACTCTATTTCCAACGCCTTCCTACTTCATATGTTTCTACCTACTCCTTCCGACCGATGGGTAACCTGGTGATCTACTTAACACGCCCCATGATGATTCGAGCAGGGTCCTCGGAGAGTGCGGCTCCCCCGCCCCCCGGGGCCGCACCGCTGGGCCCCCGAGCGCCGGACGCCGGGCGCTGCTCCCGTGCCCTCAGGCGCGAGCGCGCCGCGAGCCCCGCGGGCGTCTCCGGTGGCCTGCGGCCCGGGGAGCCCAGACTGGCGCGCGTCCGCGCCGGGCCCCCCGCTCGAGTCCGGGGGGGGGGGGGCGCGCGCCCCTTAGTCGCCGGATTCGACCAGTCGTAGGAGTGACCTTTCGCCGGAGTGACCTTTTGGGTGCGGGCCCAATGGGGTCCCCCGGATCGCCGAACGCGATGCGATCGTAGCGTCTTGCGCTCCTGTGTCGGGCCCCCCCCCCCCCCGCGGCCCCCAAGAAGCTGCGCACCCAAGGTCACTCTTACCCAGGGTCACTCTTGCGCGTAGCCGACGGATGGAGGCATCCTTCCCAGACACGTGTTGGCGTCGCCAAAAAAATCAGGACGGCAAGTTCTTCGTTATTTTCTAGGGGGCCACATGCGAACCCTACCCCTCCCCCTCTATTTTCGGCCCCTATTTTCGGCCCCTGGGGGCCCTCGCCGGGCCCCCAGGGACCGTCAAGAAACGACTCGGGATGAGAAACCGGCCCCGGGGAAAGGGTCTGGACTTCGGCCGGGGGCGCCGTCCTGGAAAAATCAGGACGTCGCATGTCTGGGTTTGGATGCCCAGATCCTAATCTACTTTTACGTCGGGCCTGCCCCCCTACAGGGGGATTTTCGACGAAAAATGAAAAATACCCTAACAATACCCCAAAAAGGCCAAAACATATCCAAAAAATAGTCCCCAGACTATTTTTGGACTATTTTTTGATTATTGTTGGGGTATCTTTCATATTTCGTCGAAACTCCCTCTGTAGAGGGACACGCCCGACTTAAATCTACTTCAGGCGTCTTCCTACTTCAAGGATCGAGTGTGGCCCCGTCTTTCCGGGCGGGAGCCCGATTTGCTTCCAGCGCCTTCCTGCTTCATGCCTCTACCCACTTTTTTCGACCGACGGGTACTGGGGGGTGACCTGGACGGGGGGTGCAGGAAAGGGAAGGGCCCTGAAGGGGCCCTTTGGCGCCCCTTGTCTGCTTCCCCCCCATATATAGGTCACCCCCCCATTGCCACCGGGCCCACCCGCTCTACAGTTGCGCGGCGTGGTCCCAGGGGGAGAGGATCCTGCAGACATACTCGCGTCGGGAGAATATCACGACGGGGGGTCTTGGGTCGTTTTCGGCCTCCAGGGGTCCTCGCCGGGCCCTGAGACTCAACGAAACGAATCGGGATGAAAACCGGCCATGGGGAAAGAATCGGGTATTCAGGGGCTTCGTGTTGAAAACATCGAAACGTTGCATTAAGTCGGGCATGTCCCTCTATAGGAGGAAAATTCAAAAATAGTTAGAAAATAGTCTGGGGACGATTTTTCGATGTTTTAATATTTGGGGATTGTTTTTTCATCCAAAATCCGCCTGTAGGAGGACATGCACGACCTGAACGTAGCACATCAAGATGGGTCTTCGCCTCATCCCGGTGCTCCAGAAGCGCCTCGCCCAGACCTCCGACGAGGTGAGTTTTCAACCGCTGGCTTGTCCTCGATCTAGGTCCGTTATCGGGCCCCGGGACCATCAAGCATGCTCTTGGAAAGGGGTTGTCGGACCGGACTGATTCGGCGGTCTCAGGGCGTTTTGGAACGCTCTCAGAGCGCTCTGGAACTCTCTGAACAGGCCGCGGCGCCGGAGGCATCCTCCAGAACCGCCGGACCTGAGCGAGTCTCGATTCCTCCTCACCCGACTCGATCCTCGCCCGGGCTTCGTCTCAGCTCGGGACCTCCTGGTGCCGCGCACTGGAGCACTCTGGTCCTCGGACGCTTGGGAGAGGCGTCGTGCCGTGCGCGCGGGGCGTGGAGGAGAGGGAGGGGCCAGGGCGGGGGCCCCTGTCGTCGCCCACTCTCGGGTTGACCCAAAAGGGGGTCCAGCGACCATGGGGTGGTGCACTAGATCTGGTGCAATAGATTTGCTGCACCCCCTTGCAGCTGGACCCCCTTTTGGGTCACCCAAATACTCGTTTCCTTTCCGCACGCCCCCATCGCTCCCCTCGTCCGCGCACATGCCTCGGGGCATTCACCGAGCGCGTTCCGCTGCTCGCAATCGTCCAAAGATCACATCTTTGCCTCGATGCAATGGATCGTAAGTGCTACGCGGCACATCCAGGCCATTTGCGAACAGTTGCTTTGCGAGTCGTGGAACGCGCTTGCCTAGCCATGATGCGGTGACCTCACTTTTTCCTGGCACCCCTCTTCGGCGCACTCGGGAGGTCTCGCCAAGGCCTTCGGGGGCCTTTCGATCAAGCCTTCAGGCAGCCTCCAGGGACCAACGACGCCGGCTCGATCCGATCCGGTCTCGAGTTCGCCAGGCTCGGTCCGATCCGATTCAGATGTTCCTTGGATCCGATGCGGCCCGATGCTTGCACGGCGCGGTTGTGCATCTTGGTGAAGCCGATCTGATTCGATTTCGATCCCGTGCCGATGCAGCCCGATCCGACGCACAGTTCGATTTGAGTTGGTTTCCCGACTCGATGCTGACTGATCCTGGCAAAGAGCTTCCCCCTCCCCGCCTGCAGCCCTCACCCGCCCCCCAGAGATACCCCCAGAGGATGCCAGAGGCCTCTGGGGGCTAAAGCAGTAGATCCGAAAGCGTGCGAGGGATTACGAAAATGATGATAACGATGATGATGCCGCTGATGATGATGCTGATGCTGATGCTGATGCTGATGACGCTGCTGCTGCTGCTGCAGATAAGGATGAGGATAAGGATGAGGATGATGATGATGCTGATGATGATGCTGATGCTGATGATGCTGATGCTGATGCTGATGCTGATGCTGATGCTGATGGTGATGCTGATGATGATAATGATGATGATGCTGATGATTATGATGATGATGCTGATGATGATGATGATGATGATGGTGAGGATGAGGATGCTGCTGATGCTGATGATGATGACGACGAAGCTGATGATGATGGTTATGATGATGTTGATGATGCTGTCCATGACGCTGATGAGGAGGAGGAGCAGGAGTATGATGAGGACGAGGATTAGGATGCGGATGCGGATGAGGATGAGGATGATGATGTTGATGATGCTAAGGAGGATGAGAAAGAAGATGATGATGCTGCTGATGATGATGATGCTGATGATGATACTGATGCTGATGCTGATGCTGATGCTGATGCTGATGCTGATGCTGATGCTGATGCTGCTGATGATGATGATTATTAGGATGATGATGATGATTATGGTGATGCTGATGATGATGACGATGGCTGATGATGCAGATGATGATGCTGATAGTGGTGATAATGCTGATGAGATTATGATAATGATGATGACAGTGATGTGGGGAGGATGAGGAGGATGACGGTGGTGATGATGCTGGTGATGATGGTGATGATGCTGATGATGATGATGCTGATGATGATGATGATGGTGATGGTGGTGGTGGTGGCGGTGGTGGTGGTGATGATGGTTGCGATGATGAAGATGATGATGCTGATTGATGGTTGTGGTGATGGTGGTGATGATGCTGATGATGATGATGGTACTGATGATGCTGATGATGATGCTGTTGATGAGGATGATGGTGATAATGATGATGACGAGGCTGCAGAAGATTCTGATGATGGTGAGGGTGGCACTTTTTGATAACACTATTACCATTGATGGTGATGGTGATGATGGTGATGATGATGACGAATGGGGGTAACCATGACGATTATGCTGATGAGGGGGACGATGATGATGGTGACGGTGATTGTGACGGTGATGGCGATGGCGGTGACGATGATGGTGATGGTGAGGATGATGACGTGAGGAAGCGGATGGTGTCGATGCTGTTGATGTTGTTGATGACGATGACGGTGATGGTGACGACAACGGTGATGAGGAGATGATGATGATGATGATGATGATGATGATGATGATGATGATGATGATGATGATGATGATGATGATGATGATGATGATGATGCTGATGATGCTGATGATGATGATGATGATGATGATGATGATGTGGGTACTGAACATGAGTATGCGTATGATAATGAGGATGTGTATGACGATGAGGATGGTGTTGCTGCTGATGCTGCTGATGATTCTGATGGTTCTGATGCTTTCGGGGAAAGCGGGGGATAATGAGGAGTAGCAGGATGAGGAATACTACGCGCAACATGATGAGGAGCGGCACTTGTGGAGAGCCCCCCCCACACCCACACCCCACATCCGGACCAAACCCCCACCCACGCACACACCCAAACAGTTGTTCCCTCCCTTCTTTGAAGGCCAAAGCAGCAGGTTCCAATAACTTTGCTTGACATCTTCTGGCAACTTTGGTGTGCACGAAGGAGTCCCAGAGGAAACAGGGATGTCGTTCGTGACAGCGTCGGCCTGCCCCGTGTGGTTGGTTGTGGCAGGTCCTGAAGAGGATGGCCAACCACACGCTGAAACGCTGAGGGCAAACTGGACCAGGGGTGCCCGAATAGTTGGGCATACTCAGTCCGAGACCAAAGGAGGATCCCAAAACCAAGATAATGCCGATTATAGTGCACTTGTGTTGACACGTAGTTGTTGTAAGAATCCTTCCATTCAGAGTTGACATGATGTTGTACTTGTTGTGATATGACAGGCAAATAACGGGTTATCAACCGAAGCTCTCCAGGAACTCGTCTTCGGCGGCGCAGCCTTTTTTCCATCAGTCAGAGACATTCCGTCATGCCTGCTGTGAAGTCGGCTCCGCCGTCCTGTGCTCCAGTCGGTGCTCTGGTCACGGGGGCGGGGGGTCAGACATTCAAGGAAAAAGGGGGGCACCTGCGGCCAGTCCGCCAGGTGCGGACGGTGTCACGAAAGAGGGGGCAGTTGTTCCCTCCCTTCCTTGAAGGCCAAAACAGCAGGTTCCAATCCATTTGCTTGACATTTTCTGGCAACTTTGGTGTGTTCGAAAGAGTCCCAGAGGAAACAGGGATGTCGTTCGTGACAGCGTCGGCCTGCCCCGTGTGGTTGGTTGTGGCAGGTCCTGAAGAGGATGGCCAACCACACGCCGAAACGCTGATGGCAAACTGGACCAGGGGTGCCCGAATAGTTCGGCATACTCAGTCCGAGACCAA